CCCCCCTCTTGTGCTCTCTCTCTCTCTCATTCTCGCTCTCAAAAAAAAAAAAAAAAAAAAAAAAAGTAGAGGGACACCGGGTTGGGGGAGAGGTTGTGGGCAGAGAGCAGGATGCTTAGATTATGTGATAATGCAGGCAGAGATGCCAAGGAACTGACCCGGGGGGGCGCCTGGTGGCTCAGGCGGTTAAGCATCTGCCTTCGGCTCAGGTCATGGTCCTGGGTTCCTGGGATCAAGCCCCGCATCGGGCTCCCTGCTCAGTGGGAAGCCTGCCTCTCCCTCTCTCTGCCCTTCCCCCCGCTTGTGCTCTCTCTCTCAAATAAATAAATAAAATCTTTAAAATTTTAGAAAAGAACATATTTAAAAAAAAAAAGAAGGAATTGAGCCCAGGGACAAGTGGGCTGTCCATGTGGGTGTTGGCAAATCTGTGTCCGTTTCCTCCCCTTTCTACTCACTCCTCACCTCAACCTGTTACCACAGTCCAGCAACAGCTTTTACCAACATCTCAGATGGCTTCCATGCCTTCAAATCCAAGAAGTGTGTGATGTTCAGCATTATGTGACACCGTTCTCGAAATGGTCTCTTTTCACTGGGTTCCAAGACAACACACTCTCCTTATTTCTTCCCAGCTTTTTTGGCCCCTGCTTCCTGGTCTGCTTTAGAGGTCCGTCTGCCTCTTCCCGTCCATTGTACGTGGGAGTTTCTCAATAGGGTGGACTCCTTAGCCTCCTTGCTTATATTTCCTCCCTAGGCAATCTCATCCCTGCCTCATGGCTTCATTACTACTCCTCATCTTAGAAGTTTCTTTGGAGCATTAAGCCCATACATCCAATTTGTACTAGTCCTTTCCACTCCGATGTCTGAGAGGCTTTTCAAGCTCATTTCTTAACTTGAACTCATGACTTACCCCCAAATCTGGTTCTTTCCCGATGTTCCCACCTCAGTGAACTTCACAGTTAGACAAGTCAGAAACTGAAGAGTTGTCTTCGATTCCTCCCTTTTCCTCAACCTCCCATGTCGAATCTATTGCTCCCATCAATTTTCTTCCAAAATAGCTTTGGGACCCACTCACTTCTCCCCATCTCCAGTGGGATGATCCAGATCTAACTGCATCACCTGTTGTCTAAACTACGGCAAAGCTCCCCAGCGGCTTGTCCATCTCTCCGGCTCTTCTCCTCTAGCCCATCCCTCCCGCTCAATCTCATGCATTCTGCCTCCACCCCAAATACAAATCCCATCATACAATCCTTTGCTTCAACCTCTTCAATTACTCCGCCCTTTAGACCAAAGAGGAAAGCCTGTCCTGTGGTCCCTGGGGCCCAGCTTGGCCCGGGCCCTACCTCTCTTCCAGGCATGCTGGTCTTTGCTGTACAGACATGTATCTGCCCTCTCCTTCTGGATCCTTCCTGTGCCCAGCACCCGCTTCCTTGGGGGAGACTTCCTGACCACTCTGCACCATCAGCCCCCCTCCACCGCTTGCTCTCATGGAACCTATGCCTTCTTTTCATGGCTCATCCTGGTTTGGAATTACACATTCATTTGGGTGGTTATCAGGCACCGTGAGAGCAGGAACCACATCTGGCTTTGCTCATCTTGTACCTGCCCCACTTAGCAAGATGCCTGGCTGTAGTGAGTGCTAGAAATTTTTTTTGGGGGGGAGTAATTGGGAACCATAGGATTTAAACAGAAAAGGATGCTAGAAATCATCTGCTCTCTGTCATTTTGAAGTTGGAGAGACAGAGGCCTGGAGATGTGGGAGACGGAGGGGGATGATTTCTACACGGTCACGGCTGATGGCAGAGTTGGAATGTCAATCCTGGCCTCTTCCTAGCTCAACCTGAGAACTATTTGTTTGTTGACCATAAATACCCTGGTTGTAGTCTCTCCCTTGCCTGACTTTTTTTTTTAAGTGAAAAATAAAAACTGTCCTTAAACTGTGCCTTTTGTGTTGTCCAATCACAAAACATCGGACCACTGGCAGCAGACAAAATGACACCCTCTGGAGGAAGAGGGGACACCAGCCTGTGGCAGTGATGGGGTGCCTTGTGGGAGCCGGGGGCACGCCCCTCCTCTTCCTCCCTCTGCTGATCAGCCACCCAGCAATCAGTAAGGGGAGGAAGATGCGCCAGGCTCACAGTGACTCATACTGACTCTCTGGAAGGTGTGAACTGCTCAGAGAGAGTTGCAAATTCCATCTTCTCCGGCCGCAGCAGGCAATCATTCTCGGCACGCCAGACCACAGTCTGAGGATACAAAGTGCTTTGCACGATTTTCTCCAGAGGCGTCATTTTCCCGCAGTTTCTTTTGCGCTGACTAAAGCACGGGAGCCCTCTGGTGGCAGTTTGAGGGAAAACCCCGTGAGAAGGAGAGAGCGGCTCAGTAGGGGTGAGAGTTCCTCGTGTCTCTCTCCCTTGCCTCCGCAAAGCCGTTTCCAAAATCAGGCACTAAAAGTAAAGCAGGGCCGTTACAAACTGTCCGAGCGGGAAGGCCCCGGTGGACCGCTGCTTGCTGCGGTCCGGCTTCCCCCGGCCAGCCCCTCCGTGCCACACGTAGTTGTGCCTGACGGTGTGGCGTCTGAGACAGTGCTTACGACGGGGCTGGAGAGGAGGGCGCGGGTGACAGACCCCCCCAGACTTGCAAATGCCCCCGAGCCGGGGAGGTGTTAGGAATCCACGTTGCCCGGGGCTGAGGAGCTTGGAGGTGCCGCCAAGCGGACAGGCCGACACAGCAGGCACCCGGGAACCAGGCCCGCGGAGGTCCCGCTTCAGCAAGGGAGGCAGCCCCTGATTTCTCCCACCGTTTCTCGAAAGGCTGGCCATATCTCCATCTGCTCTTCGTTACAAATTCCTTGGCATGCCCCCCATTTCATGAGCTCCGTAGTATACCTGTGTTCGGTTCTGTGTTAAATTTTCTCTGCATGTTACAGCCTTTCAGAGGCAAAAATAAAAATCTGCACTATTTGAAAACATTAGAAGACAGATGTTGGACAAAGTTCAAGATCACAAAGAGATCAAGACGGTTTAATAGTGATTTTTTTTTCATGGAAATCCAGTCATATCTGCCTGTATTCTTAAATACACCGTTACTTCGGACATTCACACTCCACTAGGAACATGACTTATTACAAAAGAGAGAGGGACGTTTAAAACCACATTTAATTTTTAATACAAAATCTGTTGCACTATTACAGAGGTGACCCCTTCATGCACAGATAACTCTAGCGCCTACCATTACGGAAGAGTAAAAACTGTACTTTTACTGTCCCCCCCCTCCAGCGGCAAACTTAAAGTCACTCTTATCTTTGTGCTCACTGGTGCCCAGGCTAGCCTGTCTTGGTTTTCTGTATTTCCATTAGCACGGTTGGTCTGTGAAAAGGGAATATGGAGCCGTGGAAATAGGGTCATCTTTACCTGGGATGACTTCAAACTGGGCTCTGCCTACATAGAGTGAAGATGCCTCCTGAGCCTTACAGGCAAAGCTCTGAAGATTCAATCTAGAAACTCGCTGTCAATATGTCAAAGTGTTCACTATTTCAGTTTCACAGCAAAAAAGGGAAAATAAAAACCCAAAAGGTATTTAAGGAAATGCTTTCCAATCCCATGCACTGTATTTGTGAGCTAACTTCTCAGACAGTACGACGTCAACGTTGGTTGCGTGTTTATTTGTATGTAACACCTCTAAGCATACAGCATCTACACTTTCAGTGTATTTACAGATTCAACAAAATATCTACATATAAAAAGCTTTACTTAAAATTAAACTTGATGCAAGTTATGAGAAACCAATTTATTGGCAAATGAAACTGAGCATTCCTTCAACCATAGGTTGTTAGAGGATTTCATATTTGGAGGTAAACCATTTGATAGATATCGTTGGTGGATACGGTAGGATGTGTATGTTTGTTTTGGAAACTGCAGACATAATCCCTTTGACTGTTGGCCTTGTTAGCACTCGTCAGATTTCTGAGAGTTGGAAATGTGTCCACAGCAATTTGCATATACACTGTTTAATGCTGCAGAGAGTTTCAGAAGCTGCCACCTAGGTAAAGGCCCGGAGAAAAGCATTCCTGTTGGCATGCTGTTGTCTGCTTCTGGTTTGGGAATAGATTTTCTTTTTTGCTTTTTTAAACAAAGATTCCCTACCAAATCGACAGCCCTCTGACCCAACTGGCTTGCTTGAATAGAAACCACAAAACCCACAGAATCAGCATGCGCTCCAGGTGGTGCTAAGGCTTTTTCTTTTTATACATATGGGGAAATGCTCCTTACCATCAACTGTCTGATTAATTTTATTTTCACGTTTCCTTTCTTTCAGAATTGGCTGTTTCCAGGACCTGTGCTTTCTAGAAGTTACTTCTGGAGCATGCCAGGAAGCTAGGGCTCTGCATCAGCTGTGCCGACTGCTACCGAAGGCAGCGTGTTATGGAATGCTTCCCATCTGAAGGCACTGCATGTGTCTTGCCCTGTGCTTTCTGGAATCATTTTTGAAACTGAAGTGGAGTGACTCGTTTCGATTCTTTTGGTCTGGTGTTTGTGCCACAATGTACTGCAATACACATTATGCCTAAAAACAACTGACCGTAGAGAAGATGTGAAAAGTTGAACACTGTGCTGCGGTAATACCCGGAGGAATAAGGGGCAGAGGCCGGTCACAGAGTCTCGGCAAAGCATCAGCAAATGCGACGGTCGTCATGAACTCATACAGCAAGGATATCCTGTACATACTGTTGCTAACAGTCTCCCAAAAAGACTAACGACAGCTAGACATAGAGTCACCAATTTCACCACAATGTCCACAAAGACATTGGAGTTCTAGAGAATTCTACAGCAACACTCCTGATAATGAAAACGGAATTCGTATTTCGGGGGTTCAGCTGAGGAGAATATAAACAAAGTATCAAACCATGTTTTAATAAGGTACACAGGTATTCCTTTACGTGTAGCATTTTTCATGCATCATATTGAACTGTGTCCCGAAGAGCAAATAGTGTGATCGGTTGATGATGTTGTATTATTTTTATCAGTTCTGAACAAGAATACCTATTTTGAATGAAAAAGGATGTACTTTGCACTGCAGTTCACATTAACAAATCATCTGAGTTATGTTCTTGTTTGCACCGCTCTCATAATATTAACGCACAGCAGAACACGTACTTTCTGCCTCTGTGTTCCTAGTACGAGAAGGCAGACAAACAAGTGCTTAAGAGAAACATTCTAGAGAAATGGGATATTGGCAGAGAGTTTACAGATTAAACAAAGGAATTCATGGCATTGACAGGAGAAGGTGCCTCTGAGCTTTCGTTTCCTTCCGCCGGTTCTTTCTCTTTCTTACCACTGTATTGTCCAATAAAGGAGCCGTCCTCATTGAACTGGCCATTCACCCCCTCTCCATAGTCAACTAGGCTGTCATCGCTATCTTCCTTCTTCACTGTCCTGTCTGAAGGTGTCCGACTGCCTTTTTTCAAAGGCTTGTGGTCTTCGGCGTCACTGGAAGAAAGAGAAAATGTTTTCGTCGGAATCGGCATTTAAGTGAAGTGCTGTGTTCTTAAAGATCATGCATGCAGGTTATGATAAAGCGTGTGGAGTCGCGAGCCTCGCTAGCCAAATCTAATCGTCAGGTGGACTCCGATGGCTGGGATGTGGTTGGGATGAAAATCAGGTGCAGGAATGGTTTAATCATGAAGTCTTCAGTAGGTGGATGGCTTCTCACTGCGCACGCCAATGTCAATGACTGATTCTCACTCCCGATTCGGAAGCAATTGAGAAATAGTCACAGGCATTAAAAAAGGAAGAACTGAGGAAAGGTGAAAATCATCACTACTTTGAATTCAAAGGAAAGGAAAAGCTTATGGCAAGTAGAGAAGTTAGTATGTTAAACTGTGTGAGATTCTCGGATTCCTTGGATGTGAATGGAGAATGATTTTGGTTAAGTGTGAAATATGAGGAGTTTTCTTTTCTGAGCAAGAGGAAGCAAAATCCTGCTTTTCAAATAATTTTGTTATTGAGTGCAGGCCAGACTGTAAACTTTAACCTTACCTTTCAAGAGACCTAGAAATTCCATTAAAAGGATGCAGAAGAAACAAATGAAAACAGCCTAAGAAGAAAAGCAAAATCCTTATACTGATAGTAAACAGTATTTTTTTTTCTGTCAGAATTTTAGTTAATGGGTCAAGACTGATTAATTTGGGAAGAGACATAGTTGCACTTCAGAGCACTATTGATGGAACATCAATATAGTCTAAAGAGCGTGAGTGATTCAAAACATGTCAGAGGACATTCTAGCTCTGTGCCCCCTTCTCCCAGTGTGCTATGTAGCCTATCCGTCCTGGATGGAAATCTGAGAAGCAGGATTTTAAAAACGTTATAGAACTCGATTGTTTCCCCTTTATTTCTCTATGAAATCCCTTAGCACAATATCCGGGAGTTGGAGAGTATGCTTTAGAACACCCGCCCACATGGCTGTGCCACTAGGAATGCACAGTGACTGACTCTTTAAAAGGTAACATTTGGTTTAAAAAAAAGAAAAAGATAAAAGGCCACGAGAGCATTCTGTTTCCTTTCGAAGGACAAAAATGCAAGGCAGAAGAGGAAACATAAAGCAATATTATTAAAAAGTGGAAAAGCGTAATGTCAAAAAGAGGTTGTGTCAGCGGCCGTATTTCACCCGGCAATTTGTGCCAGGCTTTTATGCACCCTCTGTCTCTGACAGTGAGCTTTGTTCTAGCCAAGATACACACATTTAGGGATGTACAAATATTCTGGCTCTTTGGCCAATAATTCCTACTAGGGTTTTCAATTTTTCTCCAAGAAGAAAATCTCAACACTATAAAAACAATACTTGCTTAACAGGACACGGGTATCTGCTATTGGAAATTACCAGCTGCAATAAGACCCAAGTTCTTGTCACAGGCCTAATAAATAAGACGATCACCACTGCTGACTGACAACTGGGGAGGGATCACAGGACCTTGGAGTGACCTGTGTTTGGGGCCCTTCGGGAGGCAGAGCATTTAATCTCCAATCTGCTGTGAGGATAAAGTGTACATCTTTAATCATTAACCTCTAGACTGTGCTTGAATACTTCCTGCAAAACATTGCTCATGACTTGGTGAGGCCCTAAATTCTATCCACGTGTTCAATATTGAGCAGATTTTGTCACCTGGATTCCACTTGTTCATTTTACTTTACAGGACCAGTGTTCCAAGGAATACATGAGAGGAAATTCTATCCTGTGGCAGTTCTTTGATCCAGCCATCTATCCATGTATTCAACCATTCACACATCTAACACATGTTTATTGAGTGCCTACCCTGACTACTGTTCTAGTCATTGGGATATAGCAGCAAGCGAAACAGACTGAAACCCCGAATTCATTAAGCTTACTTCTAATAGGGGAAAAAACAGAAAATAAACAACCAACATATGAAAACATTAGCTCCCATATGGAACTCAGTAAAGGGGATGGAAGGTGTGAGGGGAGGGCGTAGAAGTTGACACTGAAACAGGGTGTCCACGGAAGGCCTCAGTAGAAATGACATCTGAGCAAAGACTTAAAAGGGTTGAGTTAGCCAGGTGGATAGCTGGAGGGAGAACCATTCTGGCACGTGCAGCAAGCAGTGCAAAAGACCTGCGGTGGTGGTGAGCCTGGCGCGTTCTAGGAATGGAGCTCATGTGGCTGGAACCGAAGTGGAGAGAGCAGAGTTAAGTTAGGAGGGGGCAGGGCTAGATCAGGGGGGTCAGTGCAAAAACACAGGAGTCAGATGACTGTGACCCGGACGAGAGTGGAACGCCGGGGTCACACAAATTATGAACATATTTTGAAAGCAGCACCGGAAGAATGTCCTGATGGATTGTATGTGGAATAATAGAGAAAAAGACAACACCAAGATTTCCGGTTTGCACAACACAGAGGATGGAATTACCCTTACTATGGAAGGCTGCGTGTTTGGGGTAGAAGGTCAGTAGTTCAGTTGCGGACATGCTAAGTTTGCTACGTCAGAGGAACCACCCCTTTCATCGTTTTATGAATCTAATATAACAATGATACCTAAACCCAACAAGAACACTTTGAGAAAGTGAAATTACAGGCGAATCTCATTCAGGAACCTAGATACGCAAATCCCAAAGAAATCATAGCCCATGGAATTTAGCAATCTACTAAAAGGATACCATAGCATGACCAGGTTGGGTTTATTCCCGGGAATGCAAGTTTGTTTCAGCATTAAAACATCAATTCATATTTTTCAATTTTAGCAGAAGAAAAAATGTGTTATGATTATTTTAATGGATTCAGAAGAAGGTATTTGGTAAAATTCAATACCCATTCACAATAAAATCTTCAATACTCTAGGAATATAAATATCTTGATTGACCTGATTAAGGGTATTCACAAGAAACTTGCAGTAAACATCATTTTTCATGGTGAATGTTGACAGATTTCTGTTTCACATCAGAAATCACAGTAGGGATGCCTGTTCTCATCACTTCTAACCAAAACTGCATGGAAAGTACTAAGCAATGTGCAAATAAAAATAGAAGGCATATGTCATTATTTATAACTGATACAGTTACACTCATGTAAAACACCCAAAAGGATTTACAGGCAAACATTACAATAAAAAGAGAGTTTGGTAATGTTGCTAAATACTATATTAGCATAAAAGTCGATTTTATTTCCATACTTACAAATAATTGGAAAATGAAATAAAAAAGTGATTCCGGTTATATCATACAAATATGAAGTATATAAGAACAAAACCAATAAAAATGTTTGAAGTTCTCTATGAAGAAAATGAAAGGTTTATTCAGTTATTAAAGAAGAGCTAAATAAATAGAGGAACATACCATAAGTGTGGACGGGCAGACTCAAATATCATAAGCATGTTAACCTTCTTCATATTGGTCTTAAATTCAATTTATTTCCAATAAAAACCCAGCAGGTTTTTATGTGGATCTTGGCAAGCTGATTCTCAGCCATATATGTAAAGGAAAGGGCCAGGAATATCTAAAAAATTCTTGAGGAAGAATAACAAAGTTGGGGTTTTGACTTATCAGATATCAAGACTTATTAAAAGCTACAGGATTAAGATAGTATAGTTTTGGTGCAAAGATAGACAAATCAAACAAACGGCCCTGAGATATTTGGGAGATCTTTATGTTGGCTTTATTCCTATATCATATTTCTATCCTATCATAGCTGAGATTATTTTTAAAATCCTATTTTCCAACTCTTTGCTGGTACATAGAAATATAATTGACTTCATGTTAGTTTTGTGTCAAGCAACATCACTAAATTCTTTTATGAATTCTAATATTTTCCTGATTCATTAGGATTTTTACACACACACATAATCCTATCAGTTATAAATAATGACCAGCCAAGAAGGGCTCCCTAGAAGCATCCATTCCAGCTTTTTTATTTTTTAAGTAGGCTCTCCACGCCTAGTGTGGAGCTCAATGGGGGGCTCAAACTCACCACTCTGAGATCACAACCTGAGCTGAGATCAAGTCAGATGCTTAACCAACTGAGCCACCTAGGTGCCCCACATCCATTCCAGTTTAATGGTCATAGTGGATGAGAGAGAATCAACAGCAACGTAGGCTGTACTTGAAAGAAGAGAAGGAAGGAAGAGGGGTGTTCTATCCATACACAGAGTCTTTCCAGGAAAAGTTGTTCCAAGGCAGCTCAAGATCTAAGACTGGTTTTATTTTTTTAATTTTAATTTTATTTTTTAAAGATTTTATTTATTTATTTGAGAGAGAGAGAGAGAGAGAGAGAGGAGGTCACAGGGAGAAGCAGACTCCCCGCTGAGCAGGGAGCCCGATGCGGGACTTGATCCCAGGACTCCAGGATCATGACCTGAGCCAAAGGCAGTCGCTTAACCAACTGAGCCACCCAGGCACCCTAAGACTGGTTTTTAAAAAGGGGTACAATGTAATGTCATACTTCAGTTAGAATCAGGTTAAATGGGAAAACAATCATATGAGGCACCAGCCCATTTCCCAGCATGTGATTTGTGCCCTACAAATATTAGTACCCATCTGTCTACCACCACACCTCCTCAATCCACTCCAGGCCCCACCCCAGAGAGATTCTTTTTCTCACAAATACCCTGTGTAACACACAGTCTTAGAAGTTTCCAGAGTGATGCCTGGTTACAATCCTGTGTTGAAGCACTGTATTAATGGTTGCCTTTTTTCAACTCAAAGATGACTTTTATAATGAAATAGTAAACAAACTTGCTTTTGACATTGTGTCAAGGGAAGTTGCTCTGTCAAGTTTCAGTGTGAAAGTACAGCCTCCCAAACGAGAGGAATTTAGAAGTTACGGAGGATGACTTAAAAGTCATACACTTATTTAGCTACTTGGTGTTAAAAGCTTAAAAATATTCAGCCATGTTTTATGAGAACTGTTAAGGACAAAGACTCAACAAATTTGAAACTAAGTCATAATATTGTACATGTGGCTCCAAAATATATTTTTGATCCTCATAGCCAAGCATGAAGATGGTTTTGCAGTGTAAAGGAATGTTCCCATCACGGTACCAGAACTCAGCTCCTGCGCCGCGTCCTCTGGGAAGGATTCCCATCTCACCTTCCTTCCATCCACCCAGTTGGCTTTGGCTTCCAGCCTGAGCTATATCTCTTTCATAGCACTTTTCACACGATGCTGACTCTTCTTTTATTCCCTGGATCCCTCACTAGACTATAAACTAGTGAGATAACATTCTATCATTTTCAATATCCCCACAGCCTGGTATACAGTAGGCACTCAATAAATACGGGTTGAATGAATGAATTCATTGTAAAATCACAATAGAAGAGATGATGGGCATTTTTAGAAATTTTTCAGAATTCTAACATCAGAAAATTTTTATTTTTCGTGAATTTCATGATGTCCAACAAAGCAATGGAGTGTATATATATTTTTTCCTTTCTCTTACCCTCAGGATGAATTTTAAGGGGTTCACCTTTTTTGCAGTAGCACTTCATTCAGGGCTATGCACACAGGAGGTACCTATTGAATGTCTACTGACCAAAATCCAGCAGCAACAGACAAATCTGTGATCTTTCGGTCTGACTCTCCTGTGGTCACCATCCCACCACTGCCAAATTTTGCCGCAGTTCAACTGACCTTCACAACCCAAACCCTCCCTCTAAATGTCCATCGTTATTTATACTGTTCACTCACTTAAATGACAAGATTCCCATGCCCAGAGCCTCCATGTATGCTATGGGTTCAAGTACCATGATCATAGTCTTTATGACCTAGGTTCATTCTGGTTTTTAAAGGAATGGATCTAAAGAATAAAAAAAATCCTTACACGGTTGGTTGCATTGTTTCTCTGATTTTTCTATATGCTCGTAAGGATGCAGATCCTACTGTCTGTATAATTAAAAGAAACAAACAAAGAAAGCTGCAGGCTTCCACCAGAGGGTCACTGCTTGGGGGTGGGAGTTAGAGGGAGGGCACAAGGTTACAGCTTATGGGAAAAAAAAAATCAAATTTGGCCATTGAAGTTCCATCCCTCTTTGCACTATGAAATATCCCCTGGCTCAGAGCCAACCATGTAGAAACTGTTTCATCCTCAAGCTGGAGAACGAGCAAATCGTAAACAGAATTAATTTACATTTAGCGACAGCCCTACTTTTGTCTGTGTTGGCGTGTGATCCGCATATTAATTTATTTTCAGAATGAAAAACAATAAGCATCAATAAATAATACAGAGCTCAAAACTTCCAGAAGGTGCAAAGCAGAGAAGGGACTCTGGTGATTTAGGAAGGAGAATGACACTTCAATGTATTATTTAAAATAAAAAATCTGTTGTAATAAACAGTTGGAACCGTTTTCATTCATCGTAACATCTAAGAAACTAAAAGTCTTTTTTTTTTTCTCTTTAGGTAGAAAAGAATCCACAGGGAAAAAAATTCTGAGGTAGCGTCAAGAAGTCACAGGACAAAGCCACAGCTGTAGCAAGGGTGGTTGGGTACTTGGGAAAGTGACTTCACTTGTGGGATTGACTGTCCTTATGGACTTGGCAGTTTAGGTAAAAAAAAAAAAATTACTGGTTTGTGTATTAAGTTTTAGACACCCATCAGAACCTTTCCTTGGTACCTCCCACATCAATGTAATTGTATGTGTGACAAACAGTTTTGTCTTCACATGTGAACCAACGGGTCTGTACTTGATAGGCCCAAAGAAAAGTCTCTTCTGAGGAGCTCAAGGCATGAGTTAAAGACAGCCACATGAAAACACTTCACAAACATGTTGTGTATGCATGAACACCAAGACAAAGAAATATGGCAAAAGAAATGTAAACATAGTGATAATGAGGCCAGTCATCAAATACTTGGCATGGACCGCTCTGAAGCCCAAATCATATTAAAGGTTGTTAGCAGACATCTCATGGAGGAGGTTAGAAATCGAAGAAACTAGAAGCCTTCAGGGATCATCTAATAGTTGAACAACTGTATCATTTTATAGATGAAAGAAATGGAGACCCAGACACATCAAGTGCCATATCTAAAGGAATCAAGGGTAGGGCTGGGTTGACCATAAAAATAACAATTTCTGGATTCCCGGCTAGTTCCTATTCAACCTCGATTTCAATCCCATTTCTACGGAGTAGGCAGCATGGTTGCCCTGAGAACGTCACATTACATCAGACCCTGGTTTCACACCACTGTAAAAGCAAGCTGACATTTGGGAGCCACGAGGCGAGCGTACATCGCCAGATCGATTTAAGCACGATGACGGACAACAGGAATGCAGGAGGTGCCATGCTTTCTTTCTGATTAATGCCAATACAGAGGTGTTTCAGGCTACATGGAAGATGTAGCTTCATTGTAATAAAGAAGGGAGTGGTGTGCCTATCTTGTATAATATTCTAGCCACAAGAACGCTAAGAAGTTATTTAGTTATTATCGCCTCACCTGCTTTACGGGAAAAACATGTAGAAGAGTGAATTATATCAGCAAAGACTACAACTCACCCAGTGTCACACATGGCTTCCCTAGGCCACAGCCATCTGCACGCTGCCCTACCATGTACTGTGGAGAGTGGGGGGGAGGGGGTGGCCCAGGAAGCTTCCACAAACTTTGAGTCCCAGAGTCAACATGTGACATCCAGACAACCCTCACTAGACATCTTTCTGTATCATGAGGTACAGAAATTCTGAGAAGTTTTACAAATCATAATCATCTCTGTGGAAGAGAAGATCAGAGTATCTGAAGGTGTAGGTGCTAAGGCACAAAGTCCAAACACTTGTATCTGCATGGAAACTGATATGAAACCAAATGTATCCAAAAGATATTTTTTTTTCAATCAGTTATCATATTTCTTAACCTTGGCATTGAGCTCCAGAGATGAGTAAAAATTAGCACAAATATCTATAAATGTCATCTGGCAATCACAACAGGGAAATATTTTATTTCACCTAAAAGCCTTTTCATCTGCCAAAAAAGGCTCAATCTGGGCTCAGTGCATATTTAAAAGACTGTATTTCTATAATCAAGAAGCTGATAGAAAAAACAAGGTATAAAGGCATTTTATAAATAGAAGTATTCCTTTGGAACACTCCAATCCCAACTTTTTAAAGGAATAAATATAGAGCTTGTTTCTGATTTTAAACATGTCTAAAATAATCGACTATTTCTTTTTAAAAAGACATATAAATCCTAGATAAGACTATCTTTATTTAAAGAGTCTCTCTCCCTCTCTCCCCCCCCTCTTTTCATTACTTAGCACATAGGTTATGTTAAAATTTATCCCTAATGATGGAGCCAAGCCAAGAACGTATTATCAAAGTCCTGTGAATTAACACACTGCCTAGAGGTCTGTGATATTCTTAGTAATTTACAGCTTCTAAAAGAACCTTGCCATCCTTTCATGATTAATGGACAGGATATGGGTATTTCTTTTGGAAAAAGAAGTATCAAATCCAGGATTAAAAAAAGTAACACCAATTTTATAAACTCACTACTTAGAAAATGACAGGTGTAGTTTCCTTTATAATGCAGGTTTGGTAGGGTTTTTGTTGTTGCTTTAACTCTTACTATAACACACCAGCTTTTCCTAGGTTGAGCAATACAGCAATGCCTCTGGAAAAATATGGCGGGGTGGAAGGTACTCTGTCTCTAAACCCACGACTAAAATGGAAATTTATTTTTTAATGAAAAGTGAGAATATTTTCATTGGGGATGTGTAGCCATGTAGACATGGAAGTGTTTCTAAACTAGTATTGGAGGAAAATATGCAGTGCCACAGAGCCTGTCCCTGGCCTCATCCTATTGGCGGGAGTCTGTATGAGCACAGTGTGTGGGCAGGACGGGAAGGGTGAAGGGAGGCTCAGAAGCAGTGGCTCACCTGTATTCTCCAAAAGTGCCATCGTCTTCCTTCATAGGCTGGATTTCAGGATCAGCATGAGCATCTTCCTTCTCTTTGACTAAAAAATTTCAAAGTGATAACATTACCTATTGATTCCATGTTTCCTTATTCAAAGTTTTAAACAGTGCACTCCCTGAGATAGATAGATAGATAGCAGTAGAAAATAATTCTATACACAGCAGATGTTGTACCACAACAGATGGATTATGTGGCCATGCATATACTTTGCTGTTTTAGTCTCTTTGAGACAACCTAAGAGAATGAACATTTGTTAACATATAAAGTTGACTTCCTATGAGCATCCTACTGATGAAGGAATAAGTCTGAAGTCTCTAAGATCTCTCCCCTATTTGGCCCATCTATTCATTAACTATATTCAAGGTTACAAATTGTTTCAGCACATCTCTGCTTTTGCAGATTTTTTTTCCTTGTCACTGAAGGGGAAATGGCCAAGTAAAGAAAATATAAATTCATTGGATCCACTGAATTGAGCAAAACATTAGCCATAGAGGAAAAGCAATGTTACACATCATGATAGTTCATGCAGTATTTCCTCCAGAAGATTCCATATACTTTCCCCCTCTGCCTGTTGATTTTAGGTGTAGCACTTGTGACTTAGGTGGAACCTAAGGAAGCAGAGTCACTAATAATCTTCAGAGAACAGATGAATTTACTCCCCCAAATACCTTCTGATCCTTGACAATGTTTAGGCTCCCATTATAAAAAAAAAAGGGATCAAAAATTGTTTGGACAGAAAGTCCAAATTTATGGCTCTGGGAAAATATGCTTATTGCAATCTACATGATCACTCTCATTATTTCTTTATAGTTTTGAATAATTATGCAGCGTTCTAAGGCAATTTTAATCTTTCTTTCTTACCTGGATATTTACCACCCTTGTTTCTTCTGATGAAGCAAACAATCAGCAAAATTAAGATAAGGAGAGCGACAGCACACATTAGACCAATGAACCAGCCCTGAGTCGCAATATCCACCTGCCGGCTCGCCATTGCTGGAAAACAAATCAGTGGCATCAGGGGGCATGGCTTAAGGGGGAAATGAGAACTGTTGTAGTCTCTTGCAGTAAAAAATTACCATAGTAAATGAGCTTTTATACATTTTACATGTGCCCCAAATTGAAATCTGTCAGTTATCAATCAGGAGTTATATACAAACTTTGAAAAATCTTCATTACTTAAAAAATTCAAATAGCAAAATCTGAATGCTAATACCATCAAATGCTAACAAATCTGGCCACTGTGTTCCCAGTTATTTTAACTATATATTCTCAATAGAAACATAGTCCCAAGTCAGTTTTAAAAGTACTGTCTACAGATAAACTGTACATTAAGTACAATGGTAAGAATGTAAGACTGAATTTTAAAACAGAATGTATACATCTAATGGAGTATTTTTCCTTCAAAGGAACTGCTTTTGGAGGCTAACATATCATTGCAATGATGTTGCCATTTTTCAAAATGTTTTGGAAATCTTCTATTAAAAAAGAAAACTTGTCCACACAAGAAACCTGTCCACATAAGAGAGCCAGCCTTATTATTTTATATAGCATCTCAATTTGCACCTAAAACATTACTTAGATTTGGTATTCATCTCATTTACAAGAGTTGGTTCTAAAAGATTTTTGGAAATTTCTGGAAAATCCAATTTACCCTCAAAGGATCAATATTTGATATTCAATATTGCTTTGGATCCATTTAAAAGACTTTGAAAGGTAGCTTGATCAGCAGAATCACTATTGGAATAAATGACCAGTTTAAGGAGAAAATACTCATTCACATATATACATAGTCTTTGTCTTCATCTATTCAGTTTAAGTCAATAAACGTGAAGCCCCATATTCAACTAGTCCCAGTATGCAAATCTCCTAAGAAAAACACAGAATAATTAGCATTTCTGGTATTATTCAAAAGTGTCAATCAAATGGGACAAAGTGCAGCATCAATGGCTATTCAGACATGCCCATGAGGATTTGTTTAAATAAATTCGTATGAAACTTTTTTTTTACAAAGGCTTTTATTTTTTTCTTTTGACCATAATCAAAGTAAAAGGTTTTCTTCTTTTGATTCACAAGCATGCCTATATCATGCTTTTAATGTGACTGAGTTTCTTCTGAGTGCATTTAACATGGCTGGGTTGGGTATATGTGATCTCTGGATGCAGAAACAAACATGGCTACACAGATCCCAGGTTCCATCCTCCATGGCCAAAACAGAACCTCGTTGCCTTATTTTTCTCCACACAAAGCAGAAGGCGAAAAATGAAATGCTTAAAATCAAGCATGAAGAAGGATGTGAAGAATGTGTGCATGTGTGGTTAAGAAATAACATGAGAAGTGGAAATACACCATCTGGATTATAAATCAAATGCCAGTGGCCTTTCTCAATGGCCACTGGTGCCTCGTGGGTTTGAGGGGTTTTGAGTTGTATCATGACTAGATCCAACCGAGGCAGGAGTGCAGGCTGTGCCCTCCTGCATACACACACCATGACCATGACGATGATGGAGAAGATGACAGGGATAATGAGAGCTAACATCCTGAAACTCCTACTGTGTGCTGGGCACTAGGCTGAGGGCAACATCCGATTTAATTTTCACAGCAGTGCTTTGAGGTGGGCGGGAGGAGTACACCCGTGCCCCGGGAATGGAAAGGACTTGCCTGACGGCTGGAGTTGGACTGAGTCTGTCCGACTCCCGAGATACTAGCTGAATGCTCTACTGCTCTCATGCATTCCGGAAAACAAGCCCAGACATCTGCAGAAGTCTTTGCGAAAAATACAAGGCTACAGGGACTTTCCATTCTGAGACAGGCAAAAAGATTTGAAAAGTCCATCACCACATACTCCTTGGCAATGCGTTTTTTTTTCAAATTTGCACATGGTCTTTGACTGTGTGCTTTTTCACCAAAACTGAGCCTCTGATTGAAGTTGAAGAGTTAATCATTTACAGCCTCGTTGTAGGAGTAGCTGCATCTACACTTTCCATCCAACTAAATGCAACCAATAAGGGCAAGATGCAGTAAGATACCCAAATGCTAGCACAGACATTGTCACATAAAGATGGTGGTGGCCACAACTGAGCTGCCTCTGGGCAGCTTGCTACGTGCAACTATGCAAAAAGTGGAAATGTTTCTTTGACAGTCGATACAGGAATATCCAAATGGATTTTGAATTTCTACCTCTATGTCTAAAGAAAAAAAGCATCAAATATGTTCCCACCAGACTATGTAAGGTTAGGCAGACACAGCGCGTTAACAGGTGTGTGAGTGTGCACACTCACAGAGGCGCACACAAGTGCACCAGAAGTTGGTATAAAACAAAAATTAGGTAAGTGAAAAATAACTTTTCTTGACTTCTCATCCATAGAAGAAGGGATCTAAAGCCTGGAATGACTATGAGAGGCTTCGTTTCTTCCCAAGACATTCTAAAATCATCTTAACTGCAGATGCACATACAAACCCAAGTCATGGCCACCACTGTGCATCACACACACACACACACACAAACACACATACCGAAACCTGTGGGGCTTTTTCTTCTTGAATCTGGGTTCCAATGGGCAGGTACTTATAGGATTGAGTAGGAGAATTAAAGAGGATTTTCATTTTATTTAAATCTTTACAATAAAATTATGTTCATGTATTTCTTGAGTAATCCATAAAGCGATAAATTAAATGAATAGATAAATATAAAGAATGTGAAAAAAGAAAATAAGCCAGAGGAATAAAATTTGCTTTGTTTCTTAGAAGTCAGTTTTAACAAGGGTTCTGCCAACACATTGCTCGCTGTCTTCTGGCCAACCTGTGCCCTGTGGTGGTAGGCCTCTGAGGAAATGCTTAGAATAACAGAATAATGTGGAAGGGACAGAGTGAATAAATGGCTATTTATGAAGAATCCATTAAGCCTACAAATGTGCTGTTGAATTAAAATAGTTAGAATTGTACAGAAAGAGCAGAACATTTCCTTGGCCAAAGTTTGGAGACAGTACTGAATTAACACTCTCTTTCATAGTTACATTTATATGTCAAAGGTGACAATAACTGGTGTGGCCTCATCCTACTTCCACTGCGGGCATGCAGGAATGGCGCACCCACTGCGACGGCTCACCTTGAACAAGCTGTCAGGGGTAGCCGGCACTGTAGGTACGGCAATACTGGAGGAAAAAACTTTTCTAAAGGGTTTGCCTTCTGTCCCATAAAAGGACAAAAAACCATCACATTTGATGTCATAGATGGGATCTAATTCAAGCTAGCACTGCAAGCTAGGTGTACTCTGGAGCCTTCAGGGGACCAGAACATGCGCTGAGCGCCAAACGAAGTGGTCAGTCCAGCCTGTTTCCCTCGGGACGTGGGCTCTGTGACCCCGGCGGGGGGCGGGGGGGATGTCGTGAGAGCATCTCCTCCAGCGCTGGAAGGCTCTCTCACATTCCAGCCTGGTGACATGCTACTGACCTGACACCTAAGGGGGAAGGAGCACTGCCCACTTCATAGGATTTCTGGACAGACTGAACGAGGGAAGCTGCTGGAAACCAGTCACCTGGTAGAATTTCGAGCTAATGAAATGCTAGCACTGTGACTATCGTTAGCCTTCCAGCTATCAGTGGACAACATGTCTCCCCGAGCTTTTCGTATTTTGAAATTAAAAGCCATCACTAACAAAAAAACACCCTGTAATCCTGTTAGTTGATATTCCTCTTCTCAGTCTAACGCAGTGCTTTCCTAGAGCTCTGTCCACGTGCGGTTGTGAAAACACAAGGAACAAAATTACAGAAAAGTGGTTTTCTCTTTACACATTATGATTTTTGCTCACAAATAGCTTAAAATGTAGTTTGATAAGTTACCAAATATTACCTTTGATTTCTTGTTTTAAAAACTGCTCGTGATTGTAGATCTTATACATGATGTATGACTTTACATGACTGAAAATCACAATGCTTGTGTAATGAAAGACACACACAAAATGCATTTTGCCTACGGGTTCTATAGCAAATGCAGCATCTCCTCAAGAATGCACGAGGCTATGGAACAGAAGTAACACGGATGGATGAATCACAAAGTGAGTCTGTGCCACACAGCCCTTCTTTAATTTGGGTTAGCAGGGATTATTCTCCATCTTATGAGTTGGTATGAATATTCTCGCATCTTACATGAACATTATTTTAGAAACTTTAATCACTTGTTGCGTATTATGATACCATTCAAAGAACGAAAATTATGCAGGCAGTCAAATTTGGTGTGGTCACAAGAGATACATGATATGAACGATTTCTCATTCTATTCAAGTATAATAATCTTTACCTCAGTTGTCTAACCAGACTGCAGGTTTGTGCTGATTATAGTCCCCTTGTGACATAAAAAAATCGTAACTCTATGAAGGAATCATTTTAGCTTCAAAAGCATTTCGAAAATTCCATCCTAACTCCAAGGGAAGGTTGACACATGTAAAGGATGTGAAAAATTGAATTACCTACATAATGTAAGTTAAGAATCATTTTTATCTCTGTTTTTGTAATGGTTTTTGCCTATGCCATGATTAGATGGTGATCTGCCCAATTCTGTAATTCATTTGATATAAAGAGCCAAAGACAATTAAAAAGCCCAAGTCCCAACCCAACTGAGCCCCACAGAAAGACATTCATGGCCCTACCCATAACCCAACTCCACTAGGCCCCTGTCTCCAACTGGGCCTATCTCAAACACATCCTCTGAACTCACAAAACCAGAGTCGCCCTCAGCACCAATTCAAACTTGCTATGTTCCTGGCATTAGGCACCTTCACTCAAAGAAGCTCTGAGAACCATTTACAATTTCTTTCCTCCATTCTTCTTTGTCTGTGGGAGTTTTGCAAAAACAACAAATGTGAATATTTTGAGGAACCGGAAGTTACTTAACACTCCAAGAAAGGAAAATTCTTTATAAAGACAAAATCTAGACTGCTTAAGTTTATCGTTTTAGATGATTATAAATCTAGTCATGCCAAATAAATCAACTGAAAT